ATATATATATATATATATATATGGCATTATCTTTCCTGATAAGATTTTAAAAATTTCTTCAATTTTGATATACAAAATGAAATACCATTTTTAACTTTAATAGCTGATTTTCCAATTAGTTTTTGTAGGACAATATATATTGTAGTATGGGTAACAGATATTTACTGAACAAAAATAGTCCATTTTTCAGTACCTTTTATTCCTCATCACTTGACCATTCATATTGTATGAGACAATCCAGAGGAACACATGATCTGGGGAATTTTAAGTCTGTGTACATGACTGAGAAAATGTCTTCTAAGTACCTAAGTACATGTTTTCATCCTTCTCTAGGTTGGCCAGCTGACCCACTCTGTAGTATCAATAATTATTTCAGTCTCTGTTGCATTTAGTGCTAGTTAAAGTACCTGAGCTAGAAAAAATTAAAAGATACCATTATAGCAAAGTTCACAGACATTGTTTTAATCTAGCAATCAACATCGTCAATCTAACATTAATATCTCCTTCATATGTAACTTTCTTGAAGTTGTAATCCAGTATATTTTATGAAACAGAATTGTATCTGAAACAGAATTTTTATGTTAAATATTTGCTTAAAGAATAAAAAAAGAATTAATCAGCCACTTAGCATTTTCAGTATTCAGATATTTGAGTCAAATAGAAAGCAACATCCAGATGAGCAACTCAGTTAGTTGTTGTCTTTTCTTTTGAACATACTGGTGTTGGGTGGACACAGTCAACATTCATTTAGGTCTTAGACATTTTAGGCACTGATTTAATGTATATACACTTAATGCATATAAAGGGAAACACAAAGTCGAAAGCAAATTCTTAATCCAGATACAGATACATAACATTGATTAATATTTAAAATAAGTAGAGAGAAATTGTTTATTAATTCTGGTAGTACCTGTATCAATGCAAGCTGTTTGTTGGAAAGAATGTTTGTTTCCCAATAGGAATCAATTCATACTCTACAAAATATTAGTAATCTTTCACCACTTGTTATTACAGGTACATTATAGAATCATACTATCCATAGTCAATAATTTTCCAAATTTTTTTTTCCATGTGAGGATAGTTATGGTCTAACTATTAACCACATAAAACCACATAAAGAGAGAGAGAGAGATGGTATTTAAAAGAAATAATAAGAAATGACACATTTCATAGACAAAAGCCACCCATGGAAAGAAAACATTTCAAACTTTCTGGTACATTTTCCCGCACTTACATACCAACAGAAATAAAATGCATTTATGGAAGAGTAGTCATAGAACTTACTATAAAAGCATCCCATGGTTAAATAATAAAAGGGACTTCCAAAATATTTCTTTAATGTCTTTTATAAAGCTCTCCTGCTATAAGTTCTTTATGTTTTGGAACAAATTATGTAATAAGTGTATCACTGTAAAGTCCACAGGATCCATAATGCTGTAAATCTTTAAGGAAAAAAATATATATATATGTTATATACCACTTCAGAGCTCACTTGCTGATGGCAGGAGCTAAGAGAAACAAATTGGTTATATTGCCACTTACTAGAATGGGAAGTTTGAACTCATTCAGAGAAAAGAAACAACAACAAAAATAATCTGGTCAAATTTGATGAATAGGAAGTCAAATTTGTATCTTTCAATGTTAACTACCTCTCATAACAATTTCCAAAAAAAAAGAAAAAATCATCCTTACTCTCCTTTTAGAGTAGGAATGATACCTTAAAACATACTGTGTTAATGTGAAATGATGATTAACTTTGCTGCAGATCCATAAAGGAGCTTTAGTGGCATAGTGAGTAAGACATTTGGCTGCTAACCAGCAGTTCTAACCCACCAGCTGCTCCATGGGAGGAAATGAGGCAATCTACTTCTGTAAAGATTTACAGCCTTGGAAACCCAATGGGGGTCCCTATGAGTCAAAATTGACTTGATGACAGTATGTTTTGCTTTTTTTTTTTTAAACATCCATGGGATGAAGGAGGAAAGGTGAGAGAGACCTAAGGTAGAGTGGAGAATTGGACTTTAATTAAAGCTAAATTTTCTCTTTCCCTTTCATAAACCTACAAAGATATTTAGAACTTCTGGATATAGTGAGAAAATTACAAGGACAACAGGACTTGGGACACTAGAAGAATTCCTCCTCACAGAATTGCATTATTTTTAGAGCTAGGAAGAATTCAGTGACTCCACAGGAACTTCAGACACTGTTCTTTTAATTTGTCCTGGTCATCTCATATGAAAACTCTGTGAATCATCCATAAAACTAATTCTCTCTCTCATGTAGCCTGTGATGTGATCCAAGTAGAATTCTACAGGAATACACTACATTATTGTTTAAATAAGTGCTAATGATAGTTTTCCAATTCTCCAAATCACTAAAATTCTTTGAATATATCATTGAGATAAAAGGTGCATCACTATATCAAAACATTTAAGATCACCTATTGATATATTTTATAAATGTATATTATCTGCTTTCATATTTTGTTTGTTTTTAACTTCACACTTCACAATCTACTACCCAACTGCATACCAAGATCATGTCAAGCATTTCTAAATTAGATTCCTAGATTAGAGTAATTCCAATAGACATACATCGGGATTTATCTATATAGAATGACAAAAAAAAATTTAATCCCTTCAATCAGAAATTTAGTCATTCATCAAGATATTTTGTCTATTCCATGCTTATCAGCTGATTTAATAAATTACTTTAACTGAGTTAATCCTTGACATAATTGCCTCGGAATTATTTAGATGGGATTCAAATTAATAAGATTAGCAATAAAAACACTCAAATAAACAATGCATTTAAGCTACCACAGATTCCAGCTTTAAGAAAAGTAACTTGAATTAGATTGTGTAAATAAAATTTTCATGGTATGGCTGCAATTTGGATTCTAAGAATGTTGAAGATCGAGAACACTTCATTACATCCCAAGTGATTTCAACAACCAGATCATAGTAGAACCAGAAATTTAACAAAACCAGAAGAACCTAGTGTTATATTGCATTGGGTTCAAAACAGACCAATTAACACTGGAAATTTTACGGATAACAACAATGAAATATTTATATCTACAGATGTCATTTCAAGGGTTATTGCTGAAAGATAATAATTGGCCTGGTATCATCTGAAAAGTTTGTGGACTATTTTATAAAGTTACACAAAGTTGTGAAAAAGTTGCATGCTTTATAAACTTAGTATTTTCATCAAGCCTGTGGTCTAAAAAGAGTATGAAGACAATAGCAAATGAAGGCATTAAACACAGTTTCTTGGTATTTACAGTATTTTTTCTTCTCTAGTTGCCATCTCTTCAAAGTTGATCAATTTTTTTTCCATTGATTTTTTCACCTCACATTCAGGACAAGCAGATACTTGCAATTTCTGCCAAACAACACAGGAAATTAGGATAATGAAATTAGGATAATGAAAAGAAGTATAAAGTTTTACATAAAAATCTAAAATGCTAATAGAATAGTAATGGAAATTCATATATTTCAACAAATATAAAGATATATTCTGAAACTCTATATCCTATAAGAATCTGTGTTGTTGTTGTTTTTATGTGCCGTCGAGTCGGACCCGACTTGTAGCGACCCCTCCTTGGGTTTCCGATGCAGTATCACTACAGAAGTAGATTGCCCCATCTTCCTTCCAAGGAGTGGCTGGTGG